TCATACAAAATAATTTACCAACTTGATGGCTCGTTCTGGCAGCACCTTGATGGAGTGCGTGGTGCTTCCCCTGCAAGAGCGCGTGGAGGAGTGGAGGCGTTCACATCACACCCTGGATAAGGACCACACCAAGGGTAAGAATCGAACTACTTATGTCGCTAAAGGTGGAAATACTATGTGGTGATGTGAAAGGTTGTCACAATGTATTCAACTAAAATAATTCAACAACTTTGTTTGTTTCATTTGTAAATCATATACCTGTAATGCTGTTCGCTGTACTTTTGTTAGATCATTTTTATCAATGCCACAAGGTCGCATAGTAGCCATAATGTATCCATCTTTATTATCAGCAAATCGTGGATGGAAAATTATGTGAAATATAGAGTTGTATATATCTGCATATTTTCTGGCCCTTATCAGTCACCTTGGTTATTATACCAACTGTTTATAGGTTATGTATCTCGCTTTCTACAACATGCATGGCCGGTTATCCAATGCCTTCGGTTATTTGTGTCAAGTGAACTATACTTATGCCAGTTTTGTTTATATTTTTTCAGAATATAAGAAATCGAGGGCTGAAATCAAGAAAAGGACCGAAAATGCTTCACGACTTCAAAAGAAAGCTAAGAAGGCAGGAAAGAACTCTGAACTTAACAAGGTCAGTATCGATACGTTGCGTTTCTTAGTACTGGTCATTAGGATAATCGCGCAGAAGTATATAACCGTACCATTAATTGATGTAATTCACATTCAGGTAACGTTAATTAAAGCCAAACCCACAGGTGTTGGAGTCCACCGTGCAAGACCTGCGAGCAAGGTATTGCGCTCTGGAGGAGGTGGAGCGATCAGCTGTGCGTCTTGCCCTCACCGAGGAACGGGCGCGGTACTGCGCCTTCGCCAACGCCCTCAGACCTGTATTGGTGAGTTACACTGACTTCATGTACAAAAATTGCCATTCGCCGTGATGAATAGCTGAATAAAATCAAGATCTTTGCCTCTGACATTTTTTCCTGTGCAGGTGGAGGAAGTGGGACTGGTGAGTGAGTTGGGTCACCTGCAAGAGGTCATGACCCAGCTTGAGAAACACTCTGCTGATCCCCATATCTTACCACCAGCCAGTGAACAGGTAAGGTACCATTGCTTCTTGAAGCAAAAGATTTTCCGATTAACGACACTAACATAGTAACATTTTTCAACCGTTTTGAGATTAACAGTATGAAGTTTAAACCTATGAATTTCTTAACAAAAAGATGCACCTCCCTCTTTGATATGAGTCTGATATACTGTAGCTAAGTAATGTTCCTGTTTTTCAGGTTTTGCTGGACATCAAGGGAGGTGACACACAGTGGTCATGGCAAACCCCACCCTCCTCCCCTTCCTCCTTAGGATCCCGCAAGTCCTCCATGTGCTCCATATCCTCCATTAATTCCTCTTCATCCTCTTCCACCCACTCCCCATCCCATCACACAAGGACACGCTCTGTGAGCCAGGTTAGTGGAGCACTTGAGTGGAAGTAGTTTGCAGTTGGCATTTCTAGTAGATTTGTACAATTTATATGTTATATTTTGTTGCATAACATACCAGTTTTTGTCCCCATTTTAAAGCAAAGTATGAAAGGAAGGTGAGATTAATGTTTACTTTGGGATAAGATTTACAGTCCTCAGCCTGAGTCTGTCAGATATATTGTAGGTAAGTACATGCATTCATTAGGGCACTTCATTGAAAAGATATTCAGAAAGTTAACTTTTTCTTTCCTTGACTAGGCAAGATATTCCCAATACTAGATTTGTAACAAAATTGGTTTATCCTTGTAAGCATTCACTTGGTCTTTTGAATTTGGTTTTTACATCTCTTTTTACTTGTTTTTCTTTTACTTATCTTGCCTGAAAGGAATATGTAATCAGGTTTAGTTTGCAGCAGAATGTATATTGCTCTGAAGTGAAGTAACTTCAGCCTCGAGTAAGTGTGAGTATCTAGTTTAGTGTCCCTTCCTTTTCATCAGTTGAAAACAAAACAGAACTCTGGGTTTGGCTTTGTATATTTCATTTGTTTTTACTGTTATTTTTGTTCTTTGTAGTCTCCTCTTATATAGACTGAAATTTGAGCACATTTTGTAGCATTCCTGTTCCAGAACTTGTAGAAACTGTCTTTTCAGGAAAGTTGCATATTTGATATATTATTTCTAGTACACTGTTATTTGTTTTAAATAGATTTTGGTTTAAAAGTTTATGAAACACTTCATTGTAGTATTTTCTACTATTTGTTTATTTGATATTTCATATGATATAGTATCATCTTAATTTCCTCCTATTTTGACCACGCAAGTAATTCTATATCACATTATTTTTATTTAACTTAGATTTCATAGGAATCTTTTTGCACTATTTTTAAGTTGATTAACTTTTTTTTCTTAACCTATCCCTTTTTTTATCTTTTTACTATTTCAACTCAGTTCTTTTTTGTGTGGTAGTAGTGTGTTATGTTATTGTCTCTAGGGTACAAGGCTGGTGAGTGTGTCATCGCAGGACTCCGGCTTTACCTCGCAGGATACGCTCTGCCATCCCCCACACCCACACATCTCTGCCAGCCTCCAGGTAGACACTTAGATGTGCTGATTATAGCCTTATTTGAAGAAGGGTATGATTCAATGGCATCTTGGGAAATTGATGAAATCTACACTTTATTCATTTTTCACATAACCTGCAGTCATTATTAGTGCTTTGTAAGCCATATCAATTTAGTGAAATATTAGATGATACTAACTATTGTTTGCCTTAGGATTTATTACCTAGTAATACCTTCACTTAACGTAGAGTTAAAAGAAAACAGTTTTGGTTATTTCATGGAATAATAAAAAGAACACAGCTTTTTTCAAAATTTGCATATAAACAGTCATATAATTGAAGAATGTGACTGAACTTTATTTTAATATTCATAGCTGGCAAGACTACACAGGGTGAATATTGATTGTTATACAAGCTGTTACAAGTCTTTTCTTGTGCATCTAGAATTTGAAAGTGTTGTCATTGCTATGATGCATTGTGACAGCATGTTTAATGAAATCTCGTAATTTCCTATTGGCTGCGAGAATTGTTAAATTCTTTTCTTTTTTTTTTCATTCTGTTTTTGTTAACTGCATTTTAGTTTACTTGGAATGGTTTTGTTTTTCTTCACAACAGTATTTGTATGCCTTCAGTTTTGCAGTAATTAAGACAGATTAGCTTTCATTTTAGTTGCTATTGGCACCCCTTATTTTGTTATTTTTGGTTTTGTTTAATTGCATATATACACACAGACGAAATTGTTTGCACATTTTCGTAGATATGAATCTAGATAATGCAAAGCTATCATAGGATTGCTTGAAGTGTTTGTAGAATATAATTGTGTTTTGTTTCTATTTGTCATGCACAATTGCATATTTTCAGATGAAATATGTAATTGTTATTAAAGGTTTGTGTAATATGTGCACATAATGAAGCTTCAATTACATCAAGTATCCTGGATATATGTATAAACACTGGTGCTCACTATATTTCAAATATTTTAGTTCATATGAATAGAAATCTCATGGATCAAAGATTCAAATGTTAATATGCCTACTTTATTGCAGTCAGACATTCACCTCTTATGATTGTTTTTTGTCTAAACATATTAATATGAATGCAGAAACACTCAGTATCCTGAGAATCTTGACATAAATTAATATTTGCAGGCATCAGGGTTGTCTGAGCAGTCATGTGGTTCAGAAAACAGCACCCCCTCCCCTGCAACCTCTACAGCTACATGGCCAAACCTAACTGACCCAGCACTACATCACAAGACAACCCCCCCATTAGTAGACAGGCCACATACTATTTCATCAGGTATGGCTTTATCTTAAAACAAATTGTTTTCATATCATAGCTATTTATTGTCACATTTCACAGAGTATGATGGTAAGTGATAATTAAAACAAGCCTGCATGAAACAGCTCATTTGCTATTTTTGTCAAAGGAACAACTTTGAGTCAGTTTGATAAATTATTAATTATATAATACAAGTGATTGATTCTAATTTTTTTCCAGCTTATGAAAAGGGGAGGGACAGGCCTCCTCTTACTGTGTACACATTTCAGCCACCAGAAGGTCGAAGTGGACAAGTGTCCCCACAAATCTGTTCTCAGCCATGTAGCCCTGTTTGTCTTGAGGTAAATGTAATGTAATGCATTTTCTGTATATTTTCAATAAAAATGGAAATGCTTTACCATAGATCTAGTCATTTGGGTATTCAGTGAGTAAACATTTTTATAATATTCTAATCCCTCACAGCTGGAAAGTGGGTGTGTAAGTCCCTTGGTTGGTCACACAGCTACTATTTCACGGCGATCTTCTCGGACATCATTGCATCATAATCTTTCTTCCTCCAGCCAGGAGAGTCTTACAGCTACAGTAAGGTTCCACAATTTATAATTGTATTTCTTATTTGAATTTTGGAAAATATTACTTATATAGCAGGTAATTAATCTTATGGATTATATAGAATATGTGAAAGATATATGTATCAATATAAATCATTGCTAAGTAAAAAGATTTCTAGAAGCTATTTATAGAAAAGAAGTAGAGAGAATGCAGTAAGGCCATTACTTTAGCAGCTATAATAGAATGTAAAAACCTTACTAAAGGAAAAGTCACAAGTCTAAAGGCAAATGTTAAACAGGGTGAAAAAGCAGTCTGCAAGATTACCAAAATTGGCCAATTTGATTACATTTTGACTCTTGGAATCATTGACACGATCACAGTACATAATATAAATGTTATAAATACCTTAAGGAAAGAAAAACTCACCAGTAAGTAGCTTTATCACATGGACACAGTCAAGCAAGGCCAAAAAAACAGTTCATCCTACATATAAAAACTGGGCTGGCTCAGACATTGTTAAAACATATTTTAGAGTTTATTTTCAAACCTAAACCAGCAACATAACAGTCAGTAGAAGCACATAAAACATTGACCCATATCTGCTTCTTTTATGGTTCACCCAAAGGTGAAATACCAATTCAATACAATTACTTTGAGGTGAATTAGAAGAACAAAGTAAGGAATTTTGATTGTGAGTGAATGAAAGTCTGTGCTAGATTGAAGGGTAAATGACATTAGAATACAAAATATGAACATAATCAGAACTCCTGGTTCATCTAGTGCTAATCTGGGGTCATGGTAAGGTTCCCAAATTGAAATTGCTAATCAGAATACCAAAGTTGGGGCCTTCTACATAAAGAAACAGGAAGATAAAACATTTTTCATGAGCCATGTTAATAAACAACACAATTTTAAGTACAGTGTATTATATTTAATAACATCCCAGTGAGATGGAATAGTGTATGATACATTTATTTATTACATATTTTACAAGAAAGTATTATTTTCACCCATATGTTTTTTTAATCTCAGGGCAAGCCTAAACCTCCTGTGCCAAATCGCTGCTCATCACTAGAAAGACCAGCTGTTCCTGAAAAGAAACCTAGCATTCGAACTCAGCAACAACAGCCTGTCACACCAACACAGTCACAACAGAAACCACAGGTAACACAGCCACAGACTCAGGCACAATTGCAGCAGCCAACATCCCAGTATGGAGTATCAAAGATGGTACCAATGGTTCCAGACTTCAACAGGGCAGCTCCAGACATGAGTAAGTAAATACATTGTAGATGATTATTTATACCATATGAAATGTTTTCTTGTGTCATTCAATTTCCAATTTAGCAATTATGCACAAATGATCTGTCTTCTATAAAAAAAAACACTGCTATTATATAGGGAAGCACATGCTTCTTTCATGTAGACATTCTTAGATTCTCCTAAACTTTCTGTGATAATTGGGGTTATCTCACTGTGCTACAAGTCTGCTTAAAAAAAAAAAATTGCTTCCAGTTGTACCTCAGCCTGTGTACAGCAATATGGCTGAACTGTGTTCTGGCAGCAGTGGTAAAGTTTCTGATGAGGTGACAGAAAGCGATGGATTATCTCATGCTTCTCTCGGATCAAGTGGCTATGGGTCTCAACTACAGGATGAAGCTGCAGGTTCAGATGGTGAGGGGGCAATTAAGTTGTTTCTTTGCATGTGCTAAGTTTTTGCATGGAATTACTGCTATGTTTTTTTGTTCTAATTGTTTCTGCATTTGTGTTCTCTGTGTTGTTATCATGTATGTAATAATAATAATTAATGTTTAATTCATCCAAGTTTAGATTCCTTTTTGCAGTTCATATACCAGTTCACATCTCAGTTTTAAAGGAACTTATTTACTAATGAGTTATTTAGTAAAGCAGTTTTGATATTTACATTTTATTTACTGAAGAAGAGGGCTTTTTTGCATACACAAAACAGTTTTGTACATAATTTTTTCTTTTCTAATTACATCTGCTTGGCAATATGCATATAGTGATTTCCCATTTTAAAGGTATTCACTCATAAGATGTCATTTCTTCATAATGCATACTGATGATTATTAAAAATCAAATTGGTATTTAATTCTTTAGAATTTGATGTAATCAATCCCTTGCATGTCATATGATTTGGATGTTTTGGAAGTCATTATATCTGAACAGCTCCATTTTCCTGTTTCTCCCCTAGAAAATTTACACATATATATGCTTCCATGCATGTGCACATTCACCCTGATATTAAGATGTAAATGGAAAAGAATAATATCACTTCTGATGAAGCTCATGTAATTCAATGGTAGAAGTTGCCATTTGAATTTAATGATGTTCATTTGCCATAACATTACATTGGTTCTTATTTATATTTGCAGTTCTTATTTACCTTAGGCCTACAAGTCTCCAGAGTAATAGATTTATTCTTATAGTTCAAAGAGGCACACTGAAAAGGTGTTTAGGCAAATTAGTGTGTATAATCTAGTGTAAATGGGTAATGAGTTATTCAGATTTAAAATAGACTCGTTGATGTCATCAGTTGATAGTTTATCATTAATGTTGCTGTTGAGTGCATAAAGCATGTGTTGTCCTTAATGAGTAAGCAGACTTACAGGCTATTTAATATCAAGATATTGTATTGTTCATTGCCATTGGTGTCTGCATGTACTCCCTGTGCCTATTAACAGCTGTAGCTTAAAATCTAAATAAAATTTTCATGTACCCTTTTTGCATTTTAGAAGTGTTTTGACTTTTGCTTTTACAATTTCAAATATTCCTGGTTGTAGAGTATGATGCAAGCAAGTACTGCACACTTCGTCGGTACTCTGACCAGCCTCAGCTCCATTATCAGCCAGGGAGGGTTGTCCTTCGCAGGCACCTCTCCCAGTCAGGTAGTCAAATGAACCATTTCTTGTTTGTAGTGTTTCATATATCATAATTTCCTTTTTTAATTAGTTAGCATACCCTATATAGCCAAGTGTTATATACTAAGAGATATTGATGGGTATACTTAAAATTGGACATGATAGAAAAGTACACTTTATGAGTTCTCTCACCTTGTTTTATATTTAATTAAATTATCTTTAAAAAGATATGTAATAGTAGAATAAAAATAAAATACAGCATACAGATGAAAAGGAATAGTAAAATAAGCTTAGAGTAAAGAATTTATACTAAAGTTTCTATTTAAAGATTTCAAATAAAAAATCACAGTGCATTCTTTGTTTTATTCTCAGTGATGGATTGATTAATCATGATGCATACTGAGTAAGAAAAAAATTATGAAGTGTTACATTTCCTCTCTATTTTCAGGTACTGGTTCACCACGTACAGGAACTTTACGTAGGTCAGGCTCTCATGGCCAGAAGCCACCGCCTCCAGTACGTCGAACACCATCCATATCTACCATCAGTACATCAACACCACTGGTTAATTCCTTAACAAGCTTAAATACATCATCCTCAAGCACAAGTCTAAACAACTCCCCTGTACATTTAACTTCATCAGCAAGTAATTTGAGTAACTGCAGTAGTGTAAATGGTAGTATTGGCAATGGTGGAAGTGCAAGCCCCAGTCAGAGCAGTAGTAATGGAAGTCCACTACAGCGTACAGATAGTGAATCAAGTACCCCAGTCGGCTCTTTGGAGAATCTTCCTCCTCCACCTGCTTTCTTACTTGAAGATGCAGCAGAAGAATCCACTTCTGCCCCAGATCCTGATCTTACAACACCAGAAGGTATAAGATACATTTGTGATCCATTTGGGCCCCCAGCACCTATTCAAGACAAGTGCTTACAACAGCGTGCAATGACAGTTAGTGATACAGTAAAAAATCTGCAAGAAAGCCAGCATCAGCCTCCATCACCTGTTACACATCGTCGCTCTCAGTCTCTCCGTTGTAATCAACCTGCCTACAAGGCTGTTCAACTTTTAGAAGAACGAAGAGTTTCCTTAGAAGATGCAAGAGCATCACTTATGACTACACTTAATGCAAAACTTGCTGCACAGATCAGTGGTCAGCAAGGACTTCCGAATAAGCAAGCCCAAAAGCAGCAGACACGAGAAGGTAGCCAGTCTCCTAGAATGAGTCGATCTCGTCTGGGGTCTGTTCAGGAAGGTATGACCATGGAAAGCCCTTATCATTCACCTACACACCGCCAAGCAAGTAGCAGACAAGATCAGATTTATACTTTTAAACAACAACAACAAATGCAGCCACATTCATTATATCAGCATTCAACATTCAACCAGCCTAATTTACATTACATGCAACAAGTTCCATCACAGCAAATGTATGCTTATGATGATGGCCAAAGTAACATGTGCCAGCCAGGACCAGTGATAAACAAAGATCCAAATCAGCAAGCATTCCTTCAAACACTTAATGAAAAATTGTCCCAAAGATCACCAGGCATAGAAGGGAGTGTATCTCCAGGATCTCCTCGTCTCCGTCCTAAAAAGGCTCCTGTACCCAACCCCAAACCTCAGCCTAATGGCACTGCTGCTGGGGTTCAGTTGCAGCGATCAGGTTCAGGTGCTAGTGAGAAGGCCTCTAAAGTGCGTCAGTGGATTGCAAGCAAAACTTCAAGTGGTGAAAAAAAGACTAGTGCAGAGCTAGCTGCTCTACGTGAATCACTGCATGATCAAATCAAACAAGGAACATCACTAAAACGTGTCAAACATGTTGCTGATAGATCAGCACCACAAGTTTCTTGACTTAACGTGGCATTACTTGTCAAAAAGTTTGAAATGTTAGAATATCGCAGAAAAAAAGAAATTCTTGACTGTGTGCGAGTGTTGCCAAAGAAGCTTGAAGTTATTATGCCTGATACACAAATTTAGGTGCGAATTCTTACTTTTTGCTTAACTGTTTAATAAGATATTTTATTCAGATATTAAAAGAGAATGGTAGAACTTTGTATGGTATATATAAAAGGTGAAGTTCATTAATGATAATAAACATAGGTAGAAAGATGTTGTCAACTGGAATAAATGTTGTAAAAGGAATATTTCACATATAATCACACATGTTAAATCTGCTTTTGGAAATGTTTTTACAAGTCTTGGTGTCATAGACTAAAAAGGTAAAACTGTGTTTAGTAATTCCGATGAAGTGTTGTATTACTCAACTGAATAATAAGATTTACTTGAAGAGTTGGTACAAAATTTCTGTACCATGAACTTGAAAGTACATAATTTTTTTCTTTTGATTGTGCAGGAAACTTATACCTTTTGATATTTGTATGCCTTACTTGTGTTGTGTATGTGTATACATAAGTTTGCATGCATTCATGAGAGAGAGACAAATATAAAGACAAAAACATTGAATAAAGCAAGAGTGCATGTGTACATACAGTTGTCATTGTGTGTGTATATAGAGAAAAGGAAACTATTTAATTGAATGTCATTATTGGTAGTTCATGAACAAATAGGGATGGCTGCAGAAAAATTACCATTTATGTTCACAGCATATACCACAGTCACAAAGACATGTGTGTTAAATATCATATAGAGAATGGTCCAGTTTGTTAATGGTATTTGGAAAACTATGCAACTCTTAAAAATGCAGATTTGCCAAGGAGGATGCATTTGGATATTACATTATTTTTCTCTTGGAATTTAAGAATGTTCGATAACAAAGTATTTTTATCAGATGAAAGTCATTATTATTACTTTATGAAATGATTACAATAATAATAATAATAACAACAATAGTAATAGGAATCAGTCCACCATAGAACTTAGCTTGCTTTATTGTATATTATATTAGCTCCTAAAATCATACTCCTTAATAGTACTAATCACATTTCTTTAAGGTATGATAAAGATTGCATTATATTTTCTATGTTTGAATGCTTTGTGAAATTGCACACATTTATGTTGAAGCTGTGACTGTAACACAAAGTTACCATATATAAAGAAATGATCTAACAAATTTTAGCATGTGGTGTGATCATAATTTGACATTTAGGAAACCAAACTAATCTGTAAAATATGTTTTCAGCATAACTGAAAATTAAGAAATTAGAATCAGAGATGATAATGCATCTTTGTTACCGAGACTTACATCCAAACATATTCTAAAATAGGCAATATCTTATTATTAAAGAAACAAAAGCCAACATTTAGAATAACTTTAACCAGTTCGGAAGAAAACATATAAGTGTGTTAAAGATATATTTTTTCCATTTTGTCACTGACTTTGGGTAAAAGTTTATAAATTATCATTCATTCAATATATTTGGTTATCATTTTCTTGCCATTCATTTTCATGGTACAGAACAATGGAATGTAATTAAGATATGTAGATACTGAACTGTAACAACTCCAACTCTAGTCACGTATACAGTCTGAAGAAGTTAAAAGAAGTCCTAAAATTTAAATGTTAGGTAATGTGCATGAGAGTTTCCATTGTATTTTCTTGTATATATCAGAGGACATATCATATTACGTAGGTACAGAAGAAAAATATATGTATTGTATTTACATAAATGTAACTTTAAAATTAGTATTAATAATAATCTTTGCAGTGATTTCTTATATCTTATGTGGGCCATTATTGAAAGAGATATCTAGTTGGAAATAAAAAATTCTTTTGCTTGGAAAGTAAATTAAAATATTTCAGCTCTTGGACATTACTTATTTCTCCACTGCTCCATAGTGATTACTATGGCATTAAGTTTGTTTGGAGGCACAAATTGTTTCTTTTGCAGATGAGAAGTAAGTTACTTCAACTTGTGATCCTTTGAAAATACTGATTTCAAAGAATATGATAGTGAAGTGATTGATGATTTCGACAGAGTTTTTTGAATGAAAAATGTGTCTTTGTCATAAGCACAGACAAATGGGTTATTTTCTATGAAACCGAGAATAATCTTTTTTTGAAGTTTCATTCATATCTCATAATGCGGCAGTCTCAAACTATCACTATCATAGCAAATGTCAGGTGTGTTAGTGCCTTTCCTTTTTCAGTGCTCATTGCGTCCATAAGAATCAAATGCTCTTAATCCCGTGTTTCATATGGAGGAGAGTTTTGATAATGAAAAGTAAAGTTTTTAACTGGCTCATCAAATGGCTCACTAGGGTGAATGTATGCATGTATGTGGGCCATAGAAAGAACTGTCACATCTAATAAATTTTGACCTAGACAACTAGGTAAGCTCCCCTTGATACCAATTTTGTAATACATACATATCCATCAATACAGAATTGTTGCCTACATACAGTCAATCAGTTCATATTTGCTTTTAGATCATACTTTGTCAGCTAATATAAGCTAGATGAATACAGGTATAAATAATACTTACCTTTTCATTATCATAAGAAGAGTCTTGCTATAAGGAATGAAAAAAAAAGAATATGTGCCAGGTGGCTGATTTCTAATATCATGACTAGACTGTAGGCCCAAATACAAGTCCAATGCCCACCTGAGGTTCTCATTTCATACTTATCTACATAAATGTACATACTACTATCTTCATTATTAGGATTAACATTTCTTTTGTATGACAATAATTAGTTTTTGATGGAAGAATTTTCTGCAATGTGGTTTGTGTATAAATATGTCATAGGATATAAACTAAAATAAAATAATGACAAAACCTATACTGTATTTCTGTATATGAAACCCTTTTTATGTAGACACATCATTAAGAGCTACAGATGCAAAATCAAATAAAGAAGAAAAGTGTTTTTACACGTCTTGTAGAATTACAAAATTTCATTTAGATTCTCTGTTAACTGCAGTAACATTGCATCAGTCCATTAGTATATTATTGGTTTCATAATGTGACAAAGGAAATTACTGATTTACTGGATTAACATGGTAAACAACACTTGATGTTCAAAATCATATCTTGTTTTACATGCAAAGTACTTCCTTAAAACACTGAATATAAAAAAAAAATCACATGACTTGATACAATAGTAGGTGGACTACTGCAGATTTTCTTGTGGAGGTAAAGATAGTTTTTAATGTCTGTTTACACGTGGCCCTACACATTCCAAAGTAATTCTGAAGCACTTTTAGGACATAATATTCTGTAAGATTCTAAAGCAATGTTTCTGTTGTAGTGACACTAGCTTGCTTCATTTGTACATGATTTAATTAATTGAAAGAAACTTATGTAAACCTTGATTATGAAATATTGGTAAAAATTGAATATTTGATGTAAATCCTTACAGGTCATGGTTGAACCATCACCAATAACCCAGATCTTCATAGAAAATTATGAAATATAGGAAACTTATCAAGATCATTCAACACATCCTAACATACTTACCAAGGGATATAAAAGGGAAGGGTAAAGGCACAATCAAATAGGGACAAAACTTGCAAAAGGCCCAAATTTTACTTCTTTTAGATACTCCATTCAAACAACAATGGCCAAAAATAAATTTCTATTTTGCAGTTTTATTTCTTTAGCTCATTCACAGGCCCTTTTGGAAAGCTTGGCATGGGGGATGAGCACCCTCTACTGCCCCTGCATAAAAAGGCTGTTATTTATATTCTTACATTTAAGAACTAACTAGACAAGGGCTTGCTGGTACAGTGGTAGTACACAGGGACCAGGGGACTGGTGGAATCTTCAAGACAAGCATTTTCAGGCACTACTACAGTCTGAGGTTGGGAAGGACATTTACTCAGGGTACTGACCTGTATGTGCCATCCGATGCCAAGTGAGAGGTAGTGTGCGATGTAAAACTGACCATCAAAGTAATTACATAGAAATACTTCCATCCAGTTGTACAAAGTGAAACAGGCACGGTCTTCCATTTACATATGTAATTAATGAGTCATAATTACTAAAAGTGGTCACATCAATTTCCTAGGGATATAAACAGTCTCTTGGAATAAAAAAGTATTTATTAGAAAAACAATACAAACAGTTTAAAAAGCCATTTATTAGTTTTAGCTAATCAATAGCTAAGTATGATTAATTTCAACCAGAAAATTGTGAATGGACAGTATGTGTGAATATTTGTATACATTAATATTTACAACTTACACTAAGGCTCAAACCCACATTCACTCACTTATCTTATTAAGCACAAACACTCATGCATACATATGAACACTTATGCACACATACAGATGCACACTTACACCCACATTCACTCTCTCTGATACACACACATTCCTGCAAGCATACTTATGCTCATGCACTCATGCTCGCATAAACACATGCACTCATGCTTGGATGTGCATGCATAGCCCCCTATCCTACAAACACATATACCCACTACACTGCATGCTCCACGCACACCACATGCAATTACACAACAAAAACACACACACACACACACACACACACACACACACACACACACACACACACACACACACACACACACACACACACACACACACACACACACACACACACACACACACACACACACACACACACACACACACACACACACACACACACACACACACACACATATGTTACTGTAGCTGTTTTACATCTTGAATTCCCAAGGCCCCTGAATTAACATGTGAACTAAAATTCTAATACCAAGCATACACAGAAAAGATTCAGGAATAAGTCATGTTTCCCTATCCAGTATTATATCTTGCATGAGGTGGAACACCTGACAAATTATAGTTACACTAAATTGAATAATAAAAGGGCTCTTCTGAAAATGTGGTTGTACAATATATATATCTAGCAAAATATACATTAAAGGCCACAAATAAAATTAATTTGTAGCTGTCAATGGAAGTCGCACATTGGATTAGGATAGGCTATTAAATTAGTCAGTCCTATATAAATTTTACCAGATTAAACTCAAATGTATAGCTGCTCTATTATAATGTTGCATTAGTCATAAAACAATGCATAGTGTATTTCTTTGGTTAAAACTGTATTAATTACATGAAACAGGTTAAGCCACAGAGACCCTTGAGAACAAGTCCAGATTCCATTGACTCAAAAAGTTTAATACAGCATAAAATACATGCCAGTTTAACCGGCTACATAGGCAGTGTGTAAAGCTAATGATATCAAAGTACCTTTTGAAAATGGCAAGTTGATAAATGACTGGGGGAGTTTCCTACTAGAACATTTTTTTATCAGAAAAGATTCACAAACAGCCTTCAATGACTCACAAAAATATATAAACTAAAAGAGCAGTACCAAGAACAACATACAAAGTATCCATAAATTATCCATCCTTTGTTCTTGACTTCAGCCGCATAATTTCTTTTTCTTTAATCAAAGTGTCTGCTGACTTTTCTGTTAACTGGAAAAAAAGAAATTATAAAATCATTCTAATATCACAACAAAATCAATAACCTCCACATAGTCTTGTAAATACCTTTCTTTTCTCTTCTCCTTCTCTTCCAAGAGTAAATGGTTACTCTAAGGTAATGACATGCTAAAAGCAAGATCTGCATCATCAAATAATTAGTGAAATAAACACATGGCTGTGTTTACATCCAGGAACTGACGCAATCAAGCCAAAGTTAGCAATCATCATTCAACCAAGGAGTCACAACTCTACTTTGACAGCTTGGCTGGATGAATGGAACCCAACACTAGCACCATTAGTAGTAAGAACAGTAACAAAAACAAAGACCAAAACAGTAATAATAATGATAATAATAACAAAAAGAAATACAAGAACAAGAGCAATAATGATAGCTGTAACAAAAAGAATCTTTTACCTTTAAATTTAAGGAATTGGGTATACGGGTGAGTAATAATATCAATAATAACAGCAATCATCATCATAGAAATAGAAATAGATATAGAAAAATGAATATAAATGGAAACCAAAAAAAAAAAACACAAACATAGATATATCATCATCATAATAAACAAAATAAATATAATAAAAATAAACATAATAATTATAATAAATATGATGTTATTGATGATAAAAGTAACACCAGAAATAGTGTAAACAGGTGAAATCTGACAGGATTAGTTGTTGACTTCTTCAGAATGAAAAAGTTGTGTTAGAAAAAATCTTCTGTATATCTGTGTAAAATGGAAATGATATACAACAAAATATTTACAATGGACACTGCTACTAGGTCAAATGCTTCTCAGCCTTTGCAGTGTGGTGACATGTATACACTTTTTGTTCAGTGAAAACTCTCAATAATGGGAACTTGAGGTTAAGATAACTTTCTACCCAATGTTTCTGACTTCAAATGCAAGAAATACATATCTGCAACATATTATGTGATGCACTTGTGCAATCCAATACACAGGCTGAGAACCAATGCACAAGATAAAAGAAGGGATCTTTATCTGAAATGTCTAAAGAAAAAAAAGATGTTTAGTACTAATAAATGACAATGAGAAAATTTGCTTGAAGGATTTAATAAAAAAGGAAATCAGTTTAAGCAGAACTACAAGTACTAAAGATGCACTGAATTATACATGAAATATAGGATAAAGAAATCTCTGCACAGTGAAGTCAAGACCGAAGCATAAAAGTATGTCATTATTGATTTTGTTCATATTATAATTCGAATGAAAAATTATTAACAGTTAACCCTTAACCCCCTGGATCAGGGTGTCTTACTGCCTGCACATGGCCCAAAATATGGGCATTAGGCTTGCATGAGTGGCTACTCTCATAAGTGTGTGGCTTGTAGTTGGGTGCACAAGACACTCAAATATGCTGTCAAGACTCCGTGCCTTTCCTATGCAATGTTATTCTCTTTTTCTGTATGCACATTTTTTGTGCTTTTCATTTTTTAATAACTATATTTGTCATCTGATATGCTGTATCCAGATATTAATAAACTGTTTTCCTTCCAGACTCCATATAATCTCCCTAGGTAGTCCATAGCTCAGTACACTAATAACAATAGCTTTTTTTTTTTTATTCAGTTTCTATTATACAGCCTATGCTGCCAGTCACAGCATACAGGAATGATATTCTGAGCATGGAAATAAGTGTCCTTCCTAGAGCCAGTGCACTTCCAGTCACGGCTCACGGATGGCACATTCCAAACTCGTTCACTGATAGGAATGATGCAAGAACCCCTTCCTAAATGCCCACTGAGTCTAATCACCCTCCAAGAACTTTGTGCACTCATGGCAAGCCATTTCTATCACCCTGTCATTCAGCTAATATTCTCTCGGCCACAAGTTCCTATCACCCTGGCCCTCAGCCAAATATTTCCATGACGGCATGTTCACCTGACACATTGCAATGGTCATGCTAACTGGATTCTAGGGGTTAAAGGATCATCCATGTTATGATCTGATGAAAATGTAGGACATTAGCTCACTATACAACTAGTTTCTTGCTATTTCAATTCACATAAGAAAAATAGTTGCATTCTTGGAATCCAAATATCAAAATCTACTTTATGAGGTTGGTAAACTTTACAATCCTTTTCCAGCATCCAGTGGACATTAGTATCCTCATTTAACTGTGCCTAAATAAACCACATACATCCTGTACATATCAAGATCATGCACTTATGTGGACCAGCCCCAATATAGTATGCACATCCATTTGCAGTTAACTGGATGCAATAATGTGAACCAATCTAAACCACTTTACTTTGAATATTTACCATGTCAAGAAGAAGTTCCACCTTTAACTTAAGTAAGTTGTTTTCTTCCAAGAGCACTTGGTTCTGCTGACGAAGGCGTGCTACTTCTCGATTACTGACACGACCTTTTGAGCTTCCCTCTGAAATATCAAAGATATTAACACCAGTCTGTATATTTCAGTTTGACATAAAAGCAAGGAAGATATTCTTTTTCTCTCTCTGACCAAAGTCATTATCTAAGATGAAAGAAACGTCAATTATAAACTGAAATTTACTATTCATTTGCTGAACACTGATAAAACACCAGTAAATCAATCAAGAAAGATCACATAGTTTCACCTTGTATGATAAAACTATGCAATCTGACAACAATGTATGACCATCTGAATAACTGAGGCTTCCCTTAATTTTTTGGAAAATAATAAATAAACTAAATGACAAACTCAGTATCTCCCATTCCAACTCTTGCACTCCCTCCCCTCCAATTCATTATCTCTCTTCATTATACCGGGTGAATACTAGTTTTAACAAACGCAACAAATATAGTATTCATTTTCTTCGCAAATGAAGGACAACTATGATATCTACCCCAGGGAGGGCATGATAAGCATCAGAGAAATTGCGAATGATCACAGTAAATCTCTCAGTAATTTAGTTATTGTAAAGCACATTCACAGTAAATAGGGGGCTTCACCCTAATCTCGCTTTCAGTGGGGCTGCTGCCCCCCTAACCCCCCACCCGATCTGCAAAATCTTAGCTTAGCCATGCCGGAACTGATTTGAATTTCAACTGACTTCTCAAAGATTCAGCTTCTACTATCACATGATTATCTATTACAAATCTTATTGGCTCTAATTGATTGGTTGCTAGTGTCTACTGTAAAGTCATGGCAATCAACACTGGCTCATTTGATTTCCCTTGCTTATGTCATCTACTATCATTCCATCCGATTTTGTCACTTCCTCACTTTCGCACTGTTTTTCGCACTATTGGAAGAATATGTGTTATGGAGCACATGGAGTTTTTAAGTTTTACATCCCATCTAATATCCTTATCATTAGTTTGTGAAGAAAAGGCTATAAAAGAAAAGTGCCTTACAATTTTATATATTGAATGTCATGATCAGATTTTTTATTTTTGGCATTAGGCATCCTTTCAGTTTTTCATTTCAGGCTTTGAGATATTTGCATGTACAATAATTTAATAATTTTTGAGTTGTAACATAAATGCATAGAAGATAAGTTTATTAGAATCACTCTTCTATCATTTACATATATCATTTTCCTTTAAAAAGATAGCTGTATAAGACTGGACACTTACCTCATTTCCAATAACACCCTTTATTTCCCCTCTCAGTCTCTCCCCCCTCTTTGGGAAGCCAACTATTGTCAAAATAAACTAAAATCACAGTGGACATTGCAACGCAATGTAACGGGTTGATTGTGAACCTATTCTGGAAATTTACTTGTAATTATATTGGTATTATTGGAAATGCAACCCCACACTTAATTTAAAGAATCTGAGCTTACCATGTGGTAGAAAACGTCATTCTATGATAGTTTTCCTTAATACGATTTTCTGCGCAAATTGATAATAATAGAGTTATAAAGGGTATAAAATCAACGATTTCTAGGAGCCACAGTAACCTTCCGCCTCCAGCGCTGAGACAAAATGAGAGTTGTTAAGAGCAATGGGAAATCAGACGGATTTGTAGCAGATGACATGTGTGAGGAAAAGCAAATGAGCCAATTAGATTCGTGCATGAACGTGACGTGAACATAGACACTCGATAGAACCAATCAGATATGGAATAGATAATCACGTGACAATAGAAGTTGGGCCTTGGTGAAGGCAGTTGAAATTCAAATCAGTTTCATCATGGCTAGATAGTGTGTTGGTTGTGAAAACAATAATTTTGATTTCACTGCAAATTATCAACAAAATAACGAAGCAAGTTTACTCAATTTACATCACGGTGTACTGCCAGTAGAAGTACAATGCCCGCACTGTATGACATCATGTCATTATAGAAATGACAGACACCAGTGGGTTTGTAGTGCATGGGAAAGGGTTCATACAGCAAAATGAAAAAAGCAGTGTAACTTTACTGTAAATGAACGCAATTCCCGCCAACAATGACCAGGAATACCCCAACGATCCCAGTGACCTGCAGCCTGGCCCGTCTGAAGTTAAGGCTGAAGGTAAGATGTCTTCAAACTGTTCCTGGGTCTGGCCTCTCTCCTACCAGAACATTACAAGGTAAAGATTTTGCAGACCAGGTGGGGGTGGGGAGGCAGCAGCCTCCCTGAAATGGGGGTATTAAGAGCTAAAGTCCCCTATATTTACTGAAAGCGTGTCAGATACCTGGTTTGCCCAAGCTCTATCCTGCCAGAATACAGGAGATGAAGATATTGTTGACCAGGCGGGGGGAGTAGGGGGGCAAACACAACGAAAGCTATTGGAAAATTATTCTATTCACCCAAAAAATGGTGTGGGGTTGCATTTCCAAATTTACCATTACATCTGATATATAGGAATTTTCTAAAGTATTATACGACTACAACACATTTTACATCCACTGTCTATAATAAACCAAAAGGATATCATACCTGACACCCATTCTCCATCCTCGAACGTAGCATTTTGACCGCCAATATTCAGTTTTATTTTGTTGAATTCCTGCGAAAGATCTTGGCCTGATTTATCACTCTCCCTTCGTAAACTGGAAAGGGATACAGACCGTCTGGGAGGTGATTTCCCAGGAGAAAAGCTTGTTCCGAACAAGTTGAGTGGCATCTTTGTTGTGGTTCGCTTTACTTGCGTTCGTGTAACTTCAGACACTGTATACTGGGTACAGGAACCCCTTTTAATACCTTGCAGGAACTTCACTCTCTGGCGGTATTATGTGAAAATGGACTCAAATTAAAGACGAAAAAGATGATAATCCATTGTGTTATACGTAAAATCGGCATGAACCTAATCCACCTTTAAAATGTTCAGAACCAACGTTCAGTGACGTTTTTTTCCATTCGCGTTTGCTGCGATTGGAGTAATTTGGACCGTTTCGCAATTTCCTTTTTTATTTATTTTTGCATGAAGAAAAAATGAATCTGCTTTAGAACACGATGAACTTAAAATCAGCCTGCAAACACAAAGAAATGTTCAATATTAAAGTTTGGTAGTGTTATAAAAACAGGTTATTTTTTTGGTTTATACCTTTCTTCTGAGATGATTTGGTATTTATTTAGGTACAGTACTGGTATATCAGTATTTCTCAACCTTATTACCACCACACCCCCTGTAAGAAGTGGTTCTTCCCTCTTAACCCCTTTGCGTCTGTTGAAATTATTCCCCAAAATATAAACACACCTCAAAAGTTATGAATAACAAACATAACACACGCTTGCTCACAATGCCATAGGCTTATTATGGCTGCTTACTAGGTAATACATACCTCGACAGCCTGAGCTGAAGAAATATCAAAGAAGATGAGTACTTTCCAGGTGCGGCAGACTGGGAAAGAATGGAGTTTACCAATGAGAAGTATACAGTTCTAGGACAGGTTAACACTCCTCCCCCCCCCCCTTTGGATTTCGAGGGATAAGGCCAATTACGGAAAACGTAAACTAGCTTAATTCCAATCTCAATTTGGTTAAAAAGTAGAGCGCTGTACGTTAGCTCATATCACGTTTATCGGAAACTGTTAGTAACGGCGATATTTTTTCATAATCTCAATGTTATGGTACACTCTTATTGGAAGAATAACATTTGTAATTAGAAAAGATGGTATTTTCCCCAAAGATTTGCCCCCCTAAGAAATTAGTAATGCCCCCAAATTAAAAACTACTAATACATGTATCGTAGGACCGGTACCGAGAAAAGAAATGCTTGTATTATAGCACGAGGCTATGACAATGCTGAAATTGGGTCTTCATCAAAAAGATAGAGTGACATAAAGTTATTGTCATTTTCACTAAATATTTTCTGTTATTCATGTTCACCAATTATTATAGGCCCTCTCATGACAAAAAAGTTTTCTTTTTAAACATATCAGTGGATGATGGGGCACGCAGCCCGCCACCCCCTTTTATATGGGGCAGCGTCGGTGGGGGTGGCAGAGGTGGAGCGACTGCCCGAGTGTTAACCTCAGGCAGGAAGTCAGGGTGGGGGCTTGGACTGTCCGTTCTTTGCGTCAGGATGATCTGTTGCCTCTACTGTCGAGGGAACTGGGGAGGCTGAGAGTAGGGGTGGCTGCTCTCTCGGAGGTGAGGAGGCCTGGCAGCGGCATGACCTGTGTAGGTGGCTACACCTATTACTGGTCGGGCCGTAGCGACGGCCACCATCTCCAGGGAGTAGCCATTGCCATCTCCAGCAGACTCCAGCCCTCGGTAGTAGAGGTTACTCCTGTTGATGAGCGTATAATGGTATTGAGATTGAAGCTATCTTTTGGCTTCATGTCTCTTATTGCTGTGTACGCTCCTACCGATGTTTGTAAACTTGACGTGAAAGAGATGTTCTACGCCAAACTTACATCTGTGGTAGACAGATGTCCCCGGCGAGATATTCGCATTGTTCTGGGTGACTTCAATGCGGTATCTGGCTGTGATCGAGCTGGCTATGAGATGTCTGTCGGTCCCCATGGTTCAGGAGCTGATGCCGGTAGCGAGAATAGCCTCCTTTTCCGGGACTTTGCTAGGTCCCAGAAATTGAGGATTTCTGGCTCCTGGTACCAGCGCCCAGACCCACATCGCTGGACATGGTACAGTGATGCGGGTAATGCAGCCAAGGAGATCGACCACATACTCGTTAGCACTCGTTGGAGGATCCTTCAGAATTGCAGGGTGTACAGGAGTGCCTAGTTCTGTGGTACTGATCATAGATTGGTTGTGGCTACCCTCCGGGTCCACTTCAAAACTCCCCAGCGGTCAAATGATCACCCTAGGGTGTTTCATTTGGACAGGCTGAGGGAGGGGGAGTGTGCCCGCGGGTTTCCTGAGACAATCTCTGATCGTTTCGCAATGCTTGACAGTCTGACAGACCCTGTTCTTCTATGGGATACCTTTAAGCGTGAAACGCTTGATGCAGCTCAAGATACGATTGGTGTACGCCCTAGAGCAGTACGAAATTCCATCTCGTAGGAGACACTGGAAGCCACAGATGCATGTCGCGCAGCTCGTCTGACAGGGGATCGGGAATTGCACTCTGTTAAGAAGGGACAAGGAACAGTTTATTAGAAGTCTTGCAGAGGAGGTAGAAGGCCATTTCTTAGTAAATGACCTTCGTCCTGCATACCAAGCTCTGAGAAAGCTGAACTCCAAGCCCTCTTCACAGGTGACAGCAGTTCGCTCAGTAAGTGGTCAGATCGTTTCAGGTCCTGTTGCGGTGCGGGAACGTTGGGCTGAGTATTTTGAGCAGCTGTACCAGGTTGACCCACCAACAGTTAACTTGGATGCAGGTAGTGTCGAGATCCCGCTGCCGGATCCACCCATCAGTGAGGACCTTCCCTCCCTAACTGAAGTTAGGGAGGCGATTTCCAAGCTGAAGAGTGGTAAAGCAGCAGGTATCTGCGGCATACCAGCTGAACTGTTAAAGGCTGGTGGTGAACCTATGGCACGGGGGTTACATGCTGACCTGGCTGCCATCTGGCGGTCCGGTTCCGTTCCTCTTGACCTGTTGAGGGGTGTGGTCATCCCTCTCTGGAAGGGGAAGGGGGACCGTTGGGACTGCAGCAATCACCGAGGCATCACACTGCTCAGTATACCAGGCAAGGTTCTCGCCCATATCCTTCTGAGACGTATCAGAGACCATCTACTGAGGCACCAGAGACTGGAACAATCCGGATTCACTCCTGGTAAGTCCACAATAGACCGTATCCTCGCGCTTCGCATTGTAGAGCGCCGCCGTGAGTTCGGGCGTGGGCTGCTTGCAGCCTACATCGACCTCAAAAAGGCGTTCGATACGGTGCATCGGGAATCACTTTGGGAGATCCTGAGGCTGAGAGGAATTCCAACAAGGATTATTGGACTAATAGCAAGCCTGTATACTCGTACTGAAAGTGCTGTAAAGTGTGGTGGGGGCCTGTCGAGCTTCTTTCCTGTTAGTTCAGGAGTGAGGCAAGGCTGTGTCCTTGCACCAACTCTTTTCAACATTTGCATGGACTGGATACTGGACAAAGCTACTGTTCAAAGTCATTGTGGAGCAACACTGGGCAATATCAAGGTTACAGACCTTGACTTTGCTGATGACGTTGCCATTCTATCTGAGTCTTTGGAAACCCTAGTGGCGGCTCTCGATGCATTTAGCAATGAAGCGAAGCCCTTGGCTCTAGAGGTCTCCTGGACCAAGACCAAGGTCCAGGAATTTGGGGACTTGTTAGGAGAACCTGTTCAGTCGGTATGTGCTTGCGGCGAGGACATTGAAGTCACAGAGAGCTTTACATACCTTGGTAGTGTAGTTCATAACTCTGGGCTGTTAGACCATGAAGTCAGCAGACGGATTGGCCTGGCAGCAGGGGTCATGAACTCTCTCAACAAGAGTATTTGGAGATGTCGGTGCCTGTGCAGAAGGACCAAGCTACGGGTTTTCAAGGCCCTGATAATACCAGTTTTGCTATGCGGTAGCGAAACCTGGATATTGTCCTGTACCTTGGAGGCTCGTCTTGAAGCCTTTTGTAAAAGGTCCTTGCGCCAGATCATGGGGTACTGTTGGCGGGACCATGTGTCCAACCAACGGTTGCACCGTGAGACTGGCACAGGACCTGTTATCTGCACAATCCGTGATCGCCACCTCAGGCTATATGGCCACCTGGCTCGCTTTCCTCAGGACGATCCTGTCCATCAGGTCGTCTCTGTTCGAGACAACCCTGTGTGGAGGAGGCCTGTAGGACGACCGAGGAAGTCGTGGCTTGGGCAGATCGACCAAACCTGCCGTGAAGAAATAGAGATGGGCCGAGTCCCTGCCTGGCGTCTAGCCATGAGGGATCCTCGTAGGTGGAAGCGAAGGATGGATGCGGCTATGCGCCCCCGTCGGCGTCAGCCCCCTTGATGATGATGATGATGATATCAGTAAGACGTACCTACAATGAAGCAACTGTTTCTAGGGTGCTGTTGTGCGCAAATAATTACTGCAGAACAGTCCCCATGCCCTTCATAAAGAGATGCCATCTTACTAAATTGCTGTATATATATCTTTGACTTGTTTATACATCGGCGGAACTGTGAACAATGAAAATGGAGACTTCGGGTGTTTCTACTTTATTTTTCCCTAGCGACCTTTCTCATTCAAGTGAGAAGGGCCACGGCTGTTCAGCAAGTTAAATTATCTATAATGTGATAATGCAAAGTTAATATTGAATAATAGAAAAGCTTTTATATCACTAATCGTATCAAAGGCAAGAACTGCCCAAAATAAAATCAATATACTCGGCCGGTTTGACTCCAATGGCGAGAGCCGCGAGATGTGCATATGTAAATATATATTATATATATATATATATATATATATATATATATATATATATGTATGTATATATATATATATATATATGTGTGTGTGTGTGTGTGTGTGTGTGTGTGTGTGTGTGTGTGTGTGTGTGTGTGTGTGTGTGTGTGTGTGTGTGTGTGGGCAGGGCCGTCGCGACAGCGGCGTAGAAGTGAGGGGTGTAAAATTTTACATTTGCCGACAAAAGGGTGTGGTTATTGGGTGTGGTCATAACTTAAATGAAATCGTAACTTAAAAAAACTGCTATTGTTTTTTACTTATTTTTTAAACTTGCTTTGCGCTTTATTGGAGATTATTCGAATTTGCCAACGAATGTCGGTTTTAGCTTCATTTGCCAACAAACTTTTTTTCAACAGGGATATCCCCTATACCCCCACTTCACGACGGCCCTGTCTGTGTGTGTTCTTACCTAGTTGTTTAAATAGGGGAGAATTACTAAGCTCAGATGGTCCTGTCTGCTATATTTGAATTATCGTATAACTTTTTAAACTGACGCATATTTTGGTAAATACGGCGTTTCAATAGCTCTGTTTGGAAAATTGAGCTTTTTGATATCTTTTTCGCCTCTTTTTCAACTTATTTCTGTGTCCTCTCGTCCTTCCTATTTTGAAAATTATAAAGTTATATTTGTCTAACTTCACTCTTCCTGTAACGTAACTGAACAGCATAAATATGTTACCTCTTTCCCTCCTTTCTTCCAGAGTCCTATTTTCTATAGACAATCTTCGTAGCTCATATCATAGAGTACGTGCCCATCTTGTAGCTGTTCTGTTCTGTGAACTCCTCGATGAACTCTTTCCAGTGTGTTTATATCCCTGCATCGTACTCTAGACTAGATTCTCTCTCTCTCTCTCTCTCTCTCTCTCTCTCTCTCTCTCTCTCTCTCTCTCTCTCTCTCTCTCTCTCTCTCTCTCTCTCTCTCTTCTCTCTCTCTCTCTCTCTCTCTCTCTCTCTCTCTCTCTCTCTCTCTCTCTCTCTCTCTCTCTTTGTGCGTGTGTGTGTGTTTGCGCGAGCAAAAAGGTTCCACTCTTTAGCTTCCTTAAAATAATTCAGTCACCTCATGCTATTATGGGAGGAAAGTTCTCATACTAGCAAGTAATCATGATAATAAATTCACAATGATATTAAGAAACAAAATGTGATAAGCATGACTTGGCTGGGCTTATATTGCTAAATGAAAGGGATATTCATACTGTCCAATGATCACGGCTCACATATTTGGCCGATTTCAGTTTTTTTTTTTTTTGTTGTTGTTCTTTTTCACGTGGTCTGACTATTCCTCGCAACCGATGTGATAAGTAATATACTCCAGCTAGTCTAACACGGTTTTCTGAGGTTACCAGACTTTAATTGAGCACACTGATAGTCACTAATTCTTCCCCTTTTCAATAATTTAAAACGGTCAAGTAGAGCTATAGAGTCCCCGAATTACTTCTTTTGACTAAGTTGAGGAAGGATATAAATCTCTTATACGCACTAACTTCCTTAAATCTACTTTATGGTTCACGCTTCGGGAAAATCACTTGAATATGAGAAAGTAGGTAATTCTTTCTTGGTCGTCATTTAGCGGGGGGGGGGGGGGGGGGACGGGCAAGGTTGGGGAGTTTCCGGGGCGCTGCGAGGCTCCCCAAGAAAGAAAAAGGTATACTATGGACATTTTTAATATATAATCAAACCTAGATGGGTGTAATTTGGGCAGGAAATCGTGGGCCTTGCGGAGGATGCAAACCAGTCCTTCAAGGAGTCTTGCGGGGAAACTACTTATAATCTGAAAGTATTGGTAAAATTATAAATAACCTTGCAGTAAGTTTTTATTCTCATTTTAATATATATGTATATATATACATACATATGCATATATATATATATATATACAAATATATATATATACATTATATATATATATATATATAATATATATATATATATGTATGTATGTATATATATATAGATATAGATATAGATATATGTGTGTATATATATATATGTGTGTGTGTGTGTGTGTGTGTGTGTGTGTGTGTGTGTGTGTGTGTGTGTGTGTGTATGTGTGCGCGTGTGTGTGTACATATATATATATATATATATATATATATATATATATATATATATATATATATATATATATATATATATATATATATATATGTGTGTGTGTGTGTGTGTGTGTGTGTGTGTGTGTGCGTACATGTATGTATATATATATATATATATATATATATATATATATATATATATATATATATATATATATATATATATATAGTATCTTGTGCTGATGTAGTATCAACCACATTCAAAGATGTCGTTCAGTCAGCATTAAAAATGATATGGACAGGAAGATAAAGACTGACAAGACAGACATTTTAGATATTCTTTCTCTCTTTAGGTTTATGCTGAATCATTACTTATATTCCCTGCAACTAAATTCTAACTGATTCCGAGGGGCGTTTTCGGTGAATTCTCTCAAATTATACAACAATTATATAACCAGTAGTGGCTACTCAAAGTTAAAATGCAAATCAGATCGAAATGACTGTGGATATCGTTACCACTTTTCTTATATACCATTACTTTAAGTAAGTCAACTTTGATCCTTGCAAAGAAATGCTTTTTCTGCACGGGCGTAGCGCATGGAACGGGTCATCGCATGACGTCAAACGTTACCAGAACGAGGGAAATCATGCTTGTCAAGTCCAAAACTATGTTGCCAAATGTACGTAATAAGACAAAAGTTTGCAAGCACTTGTTTACATTTCTTGAAAGTTAATGAAAATTCAGAACGCGAAAATAATTTCATATAATATTACTATAGACAAATTATTTCTTTTATATCCCTTGCCAAAGTTTATTATTGTAAGTGGTAAAGATGTGGCACCTAAAGCTTTATCATATGATCGCCCGTAACAACAACAGTCAGCTTCTGCACGAGAGAGTTGCGACGTGCGAGTGACAAAGACTGTCAAATAAGTATGATGCTGATTGCAATATGAAACAGCAGGTGTTTTTGTGTCTTCTCTTGGTATATACAGCGTATGGCAACTTATTTGGAAGTAAAGATG